TAATGTTAAAACTTTAAAGAAATAATTTGTATATTACTTACTAGCATTATCTGTATCACTTCTAATTAATGATTATAGAACACATACGTTATATTCGGTGCCATCGATGTACAGGCTTGAACAAGTTTAAACATATCAAATAAAATAAAAAAATCTTTAATATAATAATAATATATAATTTGACTTAATATATTAAATGCAAAATTTTCATCTAATTTATATAATAATAACAATTAAAATGTCTAAAATTTTTCTATATACTTGAAACATTCTTGAACATGAACAAGTTAAAAAAAGATATCAACAAATATACGACACTTAAGTTATTGTAACTGACCTATATCAGATCTTTTTTAGATTAAACTGTAGTACAAATAACATTATTGTATAACATTTCTATTTAAAAATTATGGAATAGAGTTAAAAGGACTAAACTCATTTTGGCTTTCTATCAGCCACAAATGCATAAGTATTGTGCTTAAAACAGTTTTTTCACAAATATTCGCTCTATCATTAGTGATTGTAAAACCAGCTCTTGAGAATGCCCTTTCACTAGAAACACTTGAGGGCTTAATACTTAGAAAATCACGTGCTATTTTGCTAAGTATTGGGAATCTTGATGACAATGATTCCTAAAGTTTTATTTCAATATCTAAATCTCCAAGGGGCTCACTTGCATATAGTTCTAATTTATACTCAATTGTATCTATTTGTTTTCATCTTTTTGAAGTTCTTCTTATAGGGAATAAGAAATCTGACATAGAATTGTCATTATTATCAATTTCAACATAATTTGAAGAACTTGTGCTAGAATATTTTGTTCCATATGAAATAACTTTTTTGTGAATATCATTGACAAATATTTTTGCATCACTATTATTATATTCACCAACTTCTATTAGCGTTGCCTTCAAGTGCTTCAACTTATATTTTGGATCAAGTACATGGGCAATTATAATATGATCAAGGATAGATTTCCAATATTTGTCAAATTTTTTTGTCATTAAAATATTATTAACGTTAATATTATTATCTCTAAATTTATGAATATGCTGATCAATTTCTAATATAACTGTTAATGCATCAGAGATTGAGTTTGATTGTTCTTCTGAAAGAACTGACGTAGCAATTTTAAATGGTTTAAGAAACTAACAGAAAGTCTTGAGAACTATAAGGCTTTCATTATCTAAGCAAGCGGGCACTGATTGCTCTTTATAACTCATCTCTTGAATTGCCAAATGCAAATGAAGATATCTCTCGAACATTTAAATGTGGAGTTCCAATGTGTATCAATTTCAAGAATAGGCTTCAAAAAGGTTATTCCAGAAATTCTACAGTATGTTTCTAATACTTCTAATCCATTACTAGCTAGAGGATTAGCTAAGAATTTCATAACTTTATGAACCTTTTTATGTAATATACTAATTTCATTTAGACCCTCTTTAACGATTAGATTAAGAATATGACACATGCATTCTAAAAAAAGTTCAAAGATAAAAATTAATAAAAAAAATTTAAAATTAATAATATATATATTTATATCTATATATATATATATATAATAATAATAATATATTAACTTATTGAAGTTAATTCTGTATCCGGCAACTCATTTTGGAGCAATCGACTTACTGCTTTATTAGTAGTAGTGTTATCCATCATAAGTGCAAATATTTTTTTCCAATAGAATAATTTTTTAATGTGTTCATGATTGCTAATATTATTTCATTTGCTGTTTGCCCTGTCTTTTGAAAGCTTAGAACAATATTAACTATTTTCCAATTATCACCCATCCAGGATCCTGTAATAACAGTATAATGGCACTTATGAATGGTTGAGTACCATCTGTTACACATGAGTGAAATTTTTTCAGAAGTTTTGGCCAATATATCTTTAATAAATTTTAATCTCGAGTCAAATATATTGCCAGTAAGATGTTGTGATATTGTAGTTGGGTGTGGAATTTTATATAAATAGGTAATGTAGTGAAGATTTTTAGTCATTCTATGAAAAAATGGATTATTAAGGACATTAAAGGATATTCCTGTCGCAACAACCATGTCTACTATTGAATTATCTACATCTTCTTTAGTGATTGGTTTGAACTCTTCAGTCTGATTTTCGCTTAGTGGAGAATTAGGACATAATATGGTATAGTTTTTTAAGTGCGTTCTGCTAGTTTTTATTGCATACATTTTTTTTTGGCAATGTATACATTTCCAAAATTTTTTATTATCATCTATTATTTCTATCCAATTATCTTTAGTATTATACGTATTACCAACTACTACCATTTCATTATTATTAGATGTTAAGAAACTAGAAGTGGAATTATTAGGAGTACTAGAAGTGGAATCATTAGGAATACTAGAAATAGAATTATTGAGAGTACAAGAAGTAGAATCATTAGAAATACTAGAAATGGAATTATTAGGAGTACTAGAAGTGGAATCATTAGGAATATTAGAAGTAGAATTATTAGAAGTACTAGAAGTAGAATCATTAGAAATACTGGAAGCAGAATCATTAGGAATTAAATTTTCCATAATGAAATATAAAAAAAAGTAATATAAAAGAAGATAGAAAAGTACTGTAAGGTAAGAATATAGAAAAAGTAATAT